TTGATCAGAGAGTTTAATTGGGTAACTTAAGTAATAGTGGATTATAGGTATAGCATCTAATATAGGACTTAGTAATAGACAAACTCTACTTAATTAGATGTTCAAAAGATGCAGATATAGCTAGAATGTATCCTTGTTAATATAACAAAGTCAAAGGTGGCTTTATGGCTATCTTGGCATTTGTAACCAAAGTTAATATCCCAAAGTAATCACCTTAACATTAAAAAAAAAAAAATTTTTTTGTAGTCAACTACTATTACTAGATGAATATATATCTAGATATAAAAAAATTGTTAATATGTCAAAATTTTATTAATAAATAATTCTCTAGTCATCTAATTTAAAAATTTTTTATATACAGTATAAATTTTACTATAGTCGAACCTCTCTAAGTGCACGCCCTTGGGACCGAGGATAGATGTGCATTTGGAGAGGGTATGCATTTATAGAAAATATATAAGTAATTTGATTGGCCAATCAGAATTAAGCATTACATATGCATAATTAATAATACGTACTGAGTACAAGCATGTAATAACATCTTAAATAGAGTATTCGAATATTAGAAATAGGGAGTTTTAGAATTAGCCAGGGCGGCCACCAAAGTGCCAGTGACATAAGATCAATTGGTGCAATTTATTGGTTCTCTTGCTGCATATTGTACATAATTTAATATTGAAATATATATATACTTTGGCTGCACCGTGATTACATTACTGGCACCTTGAGGGGCCACCCTGGCTAATTCAGAGTTTTAAAGTAAGGTAGATTACATATTATGACATTTTTCATTACCATTAAGGTTAAGGTTAGGACTAGAGATGTTAAAATTGCCTTCTCGGCATTATATTGTTAATACATCAAGTTGGGTTAAGACTATCATTTGATATTTTTTGCATTTTTGTTTGGCTCAAATTTTAATGATTTGATTAATTGATTATTACATAATCTGCCCGCTTTAAAGAATCTCAGAAATAGTAAAGATCTGTTCTATAAAAGTTTGTCTTTGAAACGGGTTTACTAATTTTCCTCCCTATTGGACGAAGAAAAATCCTGCTTTTCAATCAAATAATAGAAGTATCGTTGAAGCAGTACAAAAGTCTAATAGAACACATACTATTATAAAATTTTACAAGGTATTTTTTTGTTAGAACACGAAAGGTGGTTATATAACCAAAATTTTAAGTTACTGCGATTTTTGAAAAAACTTCAAAAACTTCGATTTTTTTTGAAAATTTTATATTACTGTACACCTGATCTTATAATTTGATTGGTTAAACGAAAGAAATTAGGGATCCCGTTTGAAACAAGCTAAACTTGAACAATATCGTGATTTGATAAGGATAATTCCAGTAAGATACAATAATAGTATTACTATGGGCTAAATTTTATTTCCAGGTTTTTACTCACACACTTATTTCATCATTGATAAATCATATAATCTAATCAATTTATTTTTATTATAATAAAATCTTTTTGAACTTGTTTTATCAATATAACAAACAAATCGATTTCTGCAAATTTATTGTAGTTCAAATAACTTACGCACATTATATGACACTTTTAGCCTTTTAAACAATACAAAAATTATTAAAAATTGAATAGTCAATAAAAAATCAATATGAGTATATTTGAAGACTCTTATTTTATGAAAGTTCAAATTCATATGTACACAATAATCGTTCAGAACTTAAATTAAAAACTAGCGAAGCATTTTGGAAATTATGTGAGAAGAAGACCTCATCGCAGATGAAATTCTTTGCAGATATAACCTATTAGACGGAATAAACCAATCAGCAGTATTGGAAAATATAGCGAACCTCATCAAGAATATAAAGATTGTGATGAGTGCTTTATCTGTCTGTTAAAAAATAGCACTCTTCAAGAATCTATTTTGAGCTTTGTAAAATCGACAAAATTTGCGGTTCATGATACTCATTATTGCATACCGGTTTTTAGTGATGCTGCAGAGGAAACTTATGGTTGCAATTTTAATTCTTGTTCCTTTTATTGAAGGAAACACTTGTTATTGTGCAATCAAGTTTTGAAATCCCAATTTGAAAACGTTTGACAAAAAGATGCAGTTGGTTGAATTCGAAAAAATCATATTTTTCAGTGGAAAAATATGAAATATTCTAATTATTATGCATAATGGCAGGTTCATTTGTTTGGGTTTGGGATTTGGGATTACGCAAATTAGTAGAAATGTCGTAATTTTTATTTAGGCCTTTGTCCGAATTTGCTCAGCGCCTCTAGAATCGACTAGGGCAGCTTTCAAAATTGCGGGTTATGTTCATAAATATATGAAAAATGTAACAATACAGCAATAACTCATGAGATTGTATTGGGTAAATTGATTTTGAAGGCCGCTCTGGACGATTCAACACCTTTAATCGTGACACTATCGCTATTGTCACTAAATAAAAAATCTTAAAATTTAGATTTAGAGGTTTGTACAATTGACGTAAAATTACAGAATAAAATAAGTTTTAATAGTTCAAAATGATATTATAATTGTTGTTAACAAAATCTATTACAAGTTGATGGTTTTTATTAATCAAACAGCATACATATTACAAAGTTAAACAATATCTGAGTGCTGCACAACTAGGGCTGTTAAAAAGCTTGTCAGACCGATCCTTGAATCGACTCACACGAACTTTTTAGGACCTGTTCTGGACAAAGTTCCATATGCATGTCTTTGTTCCAGAAGGGGATGCATGTGAATGGTTAATTTATATCGAGATCGATTTGACCAAAATACAGTACTTATTATTATTATTACATGCATGGACTCGATTCAAGGACTGAGTCCTAATCGAAGTCCCTATTTACCAAGTCAGGACCGAAAGGATCAGACTTATAACAGCCCTATGCATAACTAAAACTTGAAATTGTTGATTTTCCAAAATCTAATTTTACAGGAACAGGCTTATCAGACACATGATTCAATATTATATGATTGAATATCATTTATCAGAAGTCTGATTAGCCCGTTTCTGTAAGTGAAAATTCCAAACATCAAGAATTTCAGGTTTTAGTTATGCAGCACTTATTTCTTTTTACTGAACTTTAGAGGTATTTTACATTATTAAGCTATCTACTATTCAATATTCATATCTCTTTTTGATCAGATAATTATTTTTGGCAACTTACCCTGATCAAAACCTGATGTAGTATTGGTAATAAAAGTCTCATTAGAACAATACGTATTAAAGTCTTTTTGTTTGCTAATTTGATATCCAAAATCTGTGAAAAATGAAAATGGCATATCTAATCTTTGGGTAAAAAATACCTTGACTTAATGATTTTTAATTGACTTAGCCTCTATCAATAATATCAATTGTATTGCTACTAACAAAAAAAAATTATTCATGGCATTGTTAGTTTTTTTTTTTTATTCATTGTTTTTTTTTTTATTCATTTATTGTTTTTTTTTATTCATTCTTTCTAGTGTCATGACACCTAGGATCATCATGCAATGCTGCATTGTTAGTTACAAAAAAGTATGCTTATGAACAGGATACGACTAGGGTGGCCATCGGGGTCATGTGGGTAGCGCCACCTGCAGCAGTTGTTAAAAATGAATCAGTATTGGATCTATAGTTCTATCGCTTTAAAAATTTTGACACTGCATATTGGACATTGGTGGCGCCACCCACATAATCCGTAAAATCGATAGCTGTCCTGGCGTATCTATGAACAGTGTTGAAAATATGCAGTGCAAAAAAATTTTTTTATACGTAAATGCTATTCTATTTTTGTGCAAATTGCACAGCTCATTGTTAATTTTGTGCAAATAACAATACATGCGTACATAGCGAATTTTTAACGCTGCACATGAATTGTTTAGATATACCAAAAAAGACTAACATTGTTAAAATATGTAACAATGTTATTTAAGACCCTGCATAGCACTTATCAACTATAAAATCTAACATCAAAGTTTTTTTAGGTTAATGTTTTTTATAATGAAAAGTTCGCTAAACTAAAAAAAAAAATAATTACCATTAGGATTCTGCAAGCGTCGGTATGATATTATTAAGACATAGTTCCAAATTTGACACTTGCAGAATCTTAATTATTATATTATACATTTAACAAATAGGCCCCTTTCAGTAGTTCAGACTCTTTTCATAAATATCTTAATATATAATATGAATCAGGGCATCTTATTTATCGGCCATTCAAAAAATATCGTTCTTGATTCAAATGATTTTAATTATTCTAATGTATCAAAAACAAACACTTGAAACAATGGGCTGTATGGCCGGTAAATGAGTTAGTATTTTTACGCCTTGATATGAATGCTTTATCAGGTTCTAATTAGAGTGTCCAGGGGTCTGCGGCAGCAGAATCTGCGCAGAATTCTGCTTTTGGCGCAGTGCCTTCTCAAGCAAAAATAAATGATTAGAGAACATAGTCTATTGTGATAAAATTAGAATTTTCTTTTTGTTGTGATTTTGTTGTGATTTTGTTTTTAAAGTATTATTTATATGCCGCCACAGAATTCACAAATCTAACAGTAATTGCAGCAGAATTTGTTGGTTAGGGCAGCAGTCCCCTGGACACTCTAGTTCTAATAAAAAAAATTGAATTGTTATGTATAATTTAAATACATATTATAATACTACATCGCTGAAAAAGTCTGAACCGCTGAAAGGGCCTATAAAATTTGATTCAAGTAATTCATACACCACAAATTGCATATTATGCTCTATACATTTTAGCAAAAATCAGATAGTCATTCCTGGGTCTTATTTACCAGATCTGTATCTGTTTTCATTAATAATGCGATACCTAAATGTTGAGATAATACACATATAAACAAGTTCGAATATAGGTTAGATTATACTGCAACTATTTGTATTATTCTGACATGTATAAAAGAATCATTTCATCTTTAATAAAAAAAAAAAAAAAAAAACTTACAAGTTACTGTCTCGTTTTTAATAAAAAATAAACATTTGTTATCTTATCTTTAAAAAAAAATTGTAAAAATGATCAAAAAAAAATTAAAAGAAGCACTTTTACAAAAATGCAAAAACGTGAACTTTGTGAATATGCTTGTGAAAATAAACAAACATGATCTCAGTATGTTAATTAGATCGAGACAAAATGGGGTCTAAGAGTTGATAAAAGCACAATTTCACGTATTTTGAAAACAGGAGAAGAAAGGCTTAACTCTGAAATTCCTAATCCTGATACAAAGCGTCACAGAGCAGTAACCTATCCAGAACTTGATCTTGCACTTAAAGAGTTTGATCTTGCACTCAAAGAGTTTGTGCTAATTTACCAAAATCGAACGATCCTAAGCGATGCTCTACTTGTTGAAAAAGCGAAGATATCTTGTGTTGTATATTTTAGATATTCAAAGGCTTTTATTTGCTTATTCATATTTATACCAAGAATGCCTATATATATATTTTTTTTTAAAAAAAAAAAAGATTAATTTAAAATTAGGCCACACAAATTTAATATATTGGTTTTCATAACATGAAACTTTTAAACAGACCCGGCCGGCCGGCTTTTTTTTTTTAAATTTCATATATAAAATTTTATAAAATTTTTTTAAAAAATTTTTAAAATACCCACCCGGTTATTAAAATATACAAAAATTTTTTTTTACAAATTTTCAAATTTTGATTCGGCCAGGTTATGAAAACCAATTAATTAAGTTTGCATGGCCTTATATATATTTTTTTTTTAAAAAAAAAAAAAGATTAATTTAAAATTATATATTTTTTTTTTTAAAAAAAAAAAGATTAATTTAAAATTATATATATTTTTTTTTTAAAAAAAAAAGATTAATTTAAAATTATATATATTTTTTTTTTTTAAAAAAAAAGATTAATTTAAAATTATATTTTTTTTTTTATATTTCTATCCAACAAATATGCTTATTGACTATATTAAAGCTACTCGCTGATGGCTTGGGAATTCTTCAAGGGGCGTTAAAATTTTCTAATGGCTGGCTTGAGAAATTTAAGGATAGGAATGGGATTCGTCAACATCATCTAGAAGGAGAAGCTGAATCTGCTGACATAACAGCTATCAATAATACTATACCCTTGTTAAGAAATAAAACCTCAAACTACCCCTTAGAAAGAATCTATAATATGGATGAGACCGGGCTGTTTTATCTGTATAAACTTTTGCATTGCCATATTATTGCGAAATAATACCTAAGAATTTTATTTCGGAACACAATTTTCAGAAAGTTAAGATTTAATTTTGACAAATAAATAATCTTTATCGAAATTAAATCTTAACTATCAAAAATAATATATGAGTGCTGCAAAGCTAAAACCTGCAATTTCGGCTTTTGCCAGCTCCGCTTTTCAGAAACAGTGATCAGATTCCTGATGAATTATAATAAATTCTATAATAAACTCTATTCAATGGATTAAGTCGTTTCTATAAAATTGATTACGGAAAATTCACAAATGCTAGTTTTAGCTTTGCAGTACTCATATCTTGAAATAATCTCTTGGTGTCATTTTATGACAATATGGTATGAATATATTTTATTGATTATTATTAAAGCTTATCACTAAACTTATTTTATAGATTGGAACCAGACAGAACATTGGCAACTCAGCGTCTTTTTGGACATAAAGTAGATAGAGAACGTCTTTCAATTGCATTGTGCATAAATGCTGATGGTTCACATAAGTTGGCTCCTTTCGTAATTGGAAAATATGCAAAACCACGCTGCTTTAAAAATATTAAAATTCAAAATTTAGCTGTTAAATATAGGAATAGTGCCAAGGCATGGATGATTGCTACCTTATTTCAAGATTGGCTTAAGGATTTCGATTATCAAATTGGTTTAAAGCATCGAGGTTAATGTGTATTACTTATCCTTAATAATTGCGCTAGCCATAAATTGGATGGCCTTATCTTACAATATACTGATATTACTTTCCTACCTCCAAATGTTACTTCTAAAATCCAACCACTTGATGCCGGTATTATCATGAGCTTTAAGAGACACTATCGTCGCTATCATATTCAGTAAGATTCATTTTATTTGAAATAAACTTATAAAAATTTTTAATTTTTATAATTTAGCAAGGCCAAATTTTAAAAATTTAAAAATTTTTATGTATTATAATAACTTTGGATAGATTTTTTTTAAAAAATTATATACAGTTAATTTTTTTTATAATGAACTGATGGCTTTTATAGTAGAAATTTTTAAAAGTTCATTATAAAGTAAATTACTATATTTTCAAACCAACTTTTATAATAAACATTTTTAAAAAAGTTTGTTATAGAGTATGTTCTCTATAAAAATATTTATTACCGTATAGTACTGCTTATAGTACCTGGGGTCTTATTCAAAATTTTGACTTTTGAAATTGATTAGTACCATTTTGTACGAAACTGCATACTATATTTGAAGATATTTATATGAAAATAATAATTATACCTAGCTTTTATTCAAGCAATAGACCAGTAGGATGGTTAATAATACCCGGGTCTTAATTATGAGGTATTATTTATAGAAATATTATAAGCAGTGCTATACGTAAGGTTGTTAATGGAGTAGCTCACTCCGGAGAAGCAACCCGGAGCACTATAGAGCAACCTGGAGCAAAATATTGGAGTAAGTCTAAATTAGTGGAGTGGGTTGAAGATTGGGTCAACCCAAACCAACCCAACCCATTAACCACCCTAGCTATACGGTATATCCAGAGTTGACTGTATATAAATTTACAAACTAATCTTCCGGATCGCAAACCTATTAAAATTTTAATAATTTAAAAAAATAAATAAATAAGTAAATAAAATTTTGCATTTATATTTTTTTTTAAGATGGATGTTAGAACAGATAGAAAATGGTGGGCGTGCAGATGAACTAAAAATGAATGTATTGCAAGCCATATGCTTTATTATTCAAAGCTGGGAAGAAGTCACTGCTAAAACGATCCGCAATTGTTGGCGTCACACTGAAATTCTTTCCGCAGATGCCAATACTAATTTACAAAATCTCTCTAACCAAACAATGGATTTGGAGCTCGATGAACTTGATGATCTTACTGATGCACTTGTATCCCTTCATCCCTATCTTACTTACCCAATGCAAGTTAAAGAATTCTTATCCATCCCCGACGAAGATATTGTTTATGAACTTCCTGATGATGATCAAGTTATTACAGAGCTTGCAGACACATTTAGAACAGTTAATTTAACCACTGATGGTTCAGAACAAATGGAAGATGATGATAGTGATGAAGTCACCATCATCAACACTGACATGGCAATGAAAAGCTTGGAAACAGTACAAACGTTTCTTCTCTAACAAGATAATAATACAAATGAATATATTAAGCCTGCTAAAAAAATTGAAGCTTTTATTAGAACGATTAAATTAAATCAAATGCAACAAAGTAAAATTAGTGATTACTTTTTGGAGGAATATTAAAAGTTCACTCTAATAACGTTTTACAACGATCTTTGACATAATTTTCTTGGGAAACAAAAAAGAAAAAAAAAAAAAATGAAAAAAATGAAAAAAAAGGAAAAAAAGAAAAAAAAGGAAAAAAAAGAAAAAAAGGAAAAAAAAGGAAAAATGAAAAAATGAAAAAAAATTGAAAAAATGAAAAAATGAAAAAAAAAGGAAAAAATGAAAAAAATTGAAAAAAATAAGTTTCGTTCTAACACTTATCTATAAATTTGGTTCTGATAGTTATGAAATTTAAAGTCTTTTTTTATCAATCACTGTTACTTCGTATTGTTTTGTAGTGGTAATATACTGCTTTTATTAGGCGTACTGTAAAACTAAAAATGTATAAAATAACAATTTTTTTTATACAAGTTTAAATATAGCTTATCTTTATAGCTTATCTTATGTGGTTTCAATAGTTAAATTACACCACGACGTCCTATTTCTAAAATAAAGTTTCTTAACCGTTAGCAAGACCAACAGCTTTCGCTTAATAAATAGATAATGTAGTAACTAAGTAACAAAGCGGCAATATTGTTTATTTACTGTGTATATATAAAACCTGGTCTAGAGAAAATCTCCTATTTACAATGGTCGATTCGATAAACTCTGTATTTTTATTGGTCGGATTTTTATAATGATCACGTGCGTGTACTTATGGAGGTGCATATATAGGTTTAGGCCTTTGAAAATTTATGCACGTGCAAGAGTAGAGGTATGCACTTAGCACTAAGTCCTATGCTCAGGACCAGGCCAGGTTGTGCACTTAGAAAGGGTGTGCATTTATAGAGGGTGCACTTAGGGAGGTTCGACTGTATATAGTTTGATTGTATCCTTGTTGTAATACTAAATATAAACTACCCACTTGGTTAATAAATATTAATAAAGCTCAGTCTTAAATACACTTTATAAAAAAAATAATAATAAAGTTTTATTAAATTAGTTTAATTTTATATAAATTAAAAAAAGAGCAATAGAGGTGTAGCGACTTAGTGTAGTTGGTAAGTTGTTATATCCTCAAGCAACAGAACATGAGTTCAAATTTTACTGGTGACAAAATTCAAATTTACAAAATTTGTTATGATAAAAAAGCATCTGTGACTTTGGTCGTATCAGCTTGTACTGGAAGGTTGCAGAATGTTAATGTGATGTATGAGTTACACAAAATCTGAGTAAAGCAGCCAAATAAATCTAAGAGATTAGAGATACAGAAGCTCATTTGAGAAGTTCTGAGTAGAGAGATAATACAGATCAGTATTACATAAAGGATTATTATTTGAGGAACTGAATACTAGAGTAAAACTAAATAAGAACTGAGTGTTTAACAAACACTATATCAACCAGGCTACTGTATTAAATGAAAAAAAAAAATTTATTCAGAATACTAAGGAACATCTATTAGTCTCTTCCAAACTATCTGAATTGAAAGTTTGGAGCACTATTAGTTAGTATTGAAGTACTGTTGATAGTCTGTAAAGTTGTACTGGAGTTTGGGTGAATTTTGCAAAAGCACAGAGTAAATAACAATAATAGAGATAAAATGTCATAAGTACTTGGTTGCAGCCTAGGTATAAGTTACTAAAAATCTAAATGATATAATGATATATGTGTAGAACATGAACTGCTCTAGTAGGTTTATCATGAGGATAAAGTAGTTTTAAAGAGCTTTAGCAGCAGTTCTTCTTTAGAGAGAATATTCGATAGTGCTAAGTTGATCAGAGAGTTTAAATAGAGGATCCACAAGCAGATCTTAGATATAGCAATTGGTGAGTAACTATAGATAGTAATAGATATAGTGGAGTCTTTAAATAAACAATGACTAAAGTTGTATATGTGACCAATTGTATTTTTATTAATATAACAAAATCAGAGATAGCCTATATGATTGCTATAGTATTCAAACCAAAGTGTACCAGACCACAAAGTGGTTACTTTAACATTAAAAAAAAAAGAACCAATATATTTGTAACCATAGCTACTATAACTGTATCTTATAAAAGCCAATCAAATTTAAAGATTAGATGTAATATAACACAATTAGAAAAATTTAAAACAATATTTATTTTATTAAAAATTGTCAAAAATAGATTATAATTTAAAATTAAGTGTAACAAAAAAATTATTTGCTAAATTTTACTATAAAATACACCTTTTTAACTACTTACTATCTTTACTTTACCCTAATTCTATTAATAAAAAAAAATTTATTTTAGTTATAACTATAATAGCCCATAGCTACAAATATATTAATTCTTAAAAAAATATATTTTTATTTTAAAGAGATGTAGCAATATAGCAAAGTAGTCAAGTTGTCATCTTTCAAGTGGCATGTTAAGAGTTCAAATCCTATCAGTAATAAAAATTTAAAAATTTTTGCTTGCATTATAATTAAACTATATTTAGTTAAGGATAGAGTATACATCGATCATTTATTATATGATCACTGGTCGAAAATTTTTAATATAATAGGCCGATATTAAGGCGAAATGTATAAAATCAAAAATCATAAAATCAGATATAAGATATTCATATAAATAGTATAATCAACAAAATATCAGCCTACAGATAGGCGGAAGTTTAAA